AATTGTAAGAAAATTGAAACAATTAAATTATGAATGTGTCTATTCGAATTATATATATGTGATAAATAGATTTTTTAAATATTACTATTAAAGTTCTAACTGAAAACCAAAATCTACACTGAATTTAATTTAGGAACATATTGCTCTTATGTTAATAACAAACTAATTCTTTTTGTAAGTGTTTATTAAAAAAATTCTCTCAATTTTTAAATTTGTCTTCCATTTTGGTTTTCATTATCAATAAGCTTTTGGTCTATAAGCAATCGTCTGATAACTAAATATTTCTATGCATTCAATGTATCTATATCTAGTTTTAATGAGTTGATCCTTAAAAAGTAATATTATAGGTACTGCTAATATAATAATAAACATTTCCAAGAGAATATTTCAAATAAAATATTTTTAATTAAAATATTATTTTTTAATAAAATAAATGAAATAATAGAATAAATTAAATTTATATTGTAATTACCAAAACATATATTAAGCATTAACTAAAGACAAGGAAGAGATAAGCCTTTCAATATTAATATAGAAATAAAATTACAAGAACATTCTCAAAATAATATAAATCCTAAAATATTATTAAATTTACATTAATATAATTTTTTAAATATTTATAAAAGTATAAAAAACAACACACAAACCTAAGATTTTATTACATAAAATTATTTTAGTACCTAATAACTATAAGGCTAATTTTCATAAACTTGAAATATAAAAAATCATTGAAAAAAAATTGAGGTTATAGATTAATGCATTTTGTTTTTTTTTTCTAATTTTTTTCTTGTATTTTCTCTGTCTGTTGTCCTCATATAAGGACACATGTCTTAAAAATGAATTAGCTATTTGAAAACAAAATCATATAAATAAATAAAATATAAGTACTTTCTATAATTCTTATATAGAAAATAGAATATATACGAGTATATTGTATACAAGAATAATATGTAAAATACATTTACAAAATATATACAAAAAATAAAAAAAAAAAATAAAAGTTTTTGAATATTAATCCTTGCCATTATCATACATTTAACTTTTTCATTATTATTTTAACATTATAGTTTAAAAAATAAATAACTGCATACATACATATTTGTATATATATATGTATATCATAAGCACTCATATACAATCATACACATTTATTTATGCTCATATTATTTTTATCATAATAATTATTACTTTTAATTTTGAAGGATTTTTAATGTTGATTTAAATAAAAAGCAAAAACAAATAAGATTAAAAAAAACAAAACTTTTCCATTACAAAAAAAAATAAACTTTTATATTCATATTTACATTATATACATAATCATATATCATACATCTCTACCATATATAACAAGTATTATTTTATATCGTATACAATTGAGTATAAAATACATATAAAACTATATAATAAAAGACCTTCACTTTCTGGTATGCTTACAAAAAACAAAACTCATTTCTTTATATTATATACTCATATACATACATAATATTGCATATCCTTTCTCTTTTCTATTTTATATTATAATAAATATTGTAATAAACTTTTTCATTTGTATATTATAATCTCCTATGAATTTTATACAATAAATATTATAATAAAAATAATCATAATAATAATAGTAATAATTTAAATATTATAATATGAAAAGCAATATTGTATTTAAAAGTAAAAAATACTATTATTTGAATATTATATTGGAATATCCTTGTAGAAATTATAAAGGCCTTGCACTTTTTGAATACCATAATGTATATGATATATAATAAATAATTAATATATATACGAGTATATTTACTGTATATAATGCAAATTGTGTATATGATACAAATCAAAATTAATTCAATGAATATATACTTTAAAAAATACATATTTACATATTTTAATTTTAAGTAAATTTAAAAAGATTTTTACATTTTAAAAATTATTATTTAAACCACAAACATATTTGAAATTCTGTTTTAGCAAAACAAAAAAAAATTTATTTAAAGAATTTCAATTAATATGTATATATAAAGAATATAAATAAAAAATATAAATCATTTATACATAATAGAAAGAATATAAACATGGAGAAAATTTCCCATTTTTGATAAAATAATTGTCCTTTGACGTAACATTTTTATGCAGCGAACAAAATCAGTAATTTTTCAAGTACACTAACTTTAAATTCCTATATGGGAAAAAATTATAAAAATTTCCCTTCTGTTATACAATATATTTTTTTCCAGTATTTTAAAGCAAAATAGAATAGAGGCTAAACAGAAAAAAAATTTTATGTGAAACCATAATAACTATATAAGATTTTCAATATATTTTTTTTTTTGCATATATTCAGGCATTTAATATTAATATTTTTCGTATAAACCATCGTATATTTTATATTATTACAATAATATTATGCTAACTGTATTTTATTAAAAAACAATGTATAAGGAAATTCACTTTTTTCCTGGTAGTATAATATAGAAAATAACTATCGCACATACATAACATATATATATATATATAGCTATATTACACTGATAAACGTACATTCAGTATTGTATAACATAATATTATAAATTTTTAACTTTACGTACAATTATTGTATATTGTTTACGTTTAAAAACGAAATAGAGAAAAAAAAACCAAGGAGAAAGTACAGTTATTTTCTGTATAAACACAAAATTTTCATATGCTTATAATATAAAATATAAATGATATACATAATATTATAGAATATTTATATATGTATACGTTTACATATGTATTTATTTTTTCAAATAGAAAAAAGGTCTTCTTATAATAAATATTATAATGTGCACATACACATGCAAGAATATGTTATTCATATTATACATACAAAATAAAATTATTATACATTAAGATGGTAAATTGTACCTGTTATTTTGAGATATACAAGTTATTCATGACTATTTTATTTAGATCTATATCTATTTTACTATTTTATACGAAAATGTATTACAATACTATTATATTATTTCAAAGCCTAAAGTAAATGGTATTGTCAGTGGTCAAGTAGTTAGAGTTGGGTGGTTTTCCGGTAGCACAAACATTTTGTTTTCATATAACATTTTTTTTATTTTATTTCTCTGGTATCTGGTATACCTACATAATGTAAATTTAGAAACAAAAAAAAAAACATAGAGTAAAATAAATATTAGTTTTCACTTTGCTTTCTCTCTGGCTCTCATTACTCTAACTATATTCATATACATAGTATATATAAAAATTTTATAACTACATATTATATGTATGTACATAAAAATTGTATACATGAAATTATCACCAGAATATATAGGCTGATAGTGTAAAGTTTACAGTAGTATGTAGCATATTATTATATAAGTATTTTAAAATTTGGTTTTTAAAATTGTTGGGTAATATTTTTTTTCTTTGTTTTTTTTTTTTTTGATGCTGTATTTTAAAATTTCCTTTTGCATTTACAATTCGTATAGGGAAAAAATTGAAACGAAAATTAAAATGAAAATAGAAAAACAAATAGTTTTTACCAAGTTAAAAAAAAAATTGCATATATTTGTGAATGTAGGGCAATAGGTCTCCTTAAATGGCTCCATGCAGCCTTTAAAAAAACTGTGTATGTATATCTTTGGATGTACAGTATACATGTGGATATAATAATGTAGATATCAATAAATTTTGTTGAAATTTTTGGTTGTAAGATTTTCTATTGTTTGCACATTATACTTATGTCATATAATTGTATATACACGGGCATAAACACATATACAAAATATATTTTATAAAATTGCATTATAAAAATTTATTATTATTTTTGCTTTTTGTCCGTATAATAATTTTGTTATCCTTTTACTATTTTAATACAATTGTTATAAAAATTTATAAGGACATAATATAAAAATGTATAGTTATTATTCGATTTTTTCGTTTTGTATATTTTATAGTATATTCTTTGATTACGAGTATATAGTTTATATATGAAAATTGTTTAGGTTATTTACGGTGGTAACATTGCTCTCAATATGAACTATATTGAAGACTTTATAATATGACTTAGATATTATATTTTTTATTCCTCTAAGCAAAGTATCAATTTTACTCATACTAGTACACATAATATACATATTATAAACATTATATTTATATATACAAAAAAAAATTAAAAAAAAATGGTATAACATTTATTCCAATACACAATTACCCTGTATATATCAAAATATATAAAATAATATAAAAGTTTTTAAAAGTAAAATTATTGCAAACTATGAAATAAAAATAAAAAAAATCAAAAACTGTAATACTCTTTTCCTGTTTTTAAAATAAGCTAAATTTAATATTCATTTATGTATAAATACAGTATTTACATTATCTATGTATGTATGTATGTGCGTTTATAAATTAAAATACAATTGAGGTCTATGCAATAAACTGAAAACGTGAAAATATACTTTTTGCATTAACTAGGCTAAAATTTACATATTATTTTATTTTCATCTCCTTTTTTTAGAATTTGGGAATTCTAAAGTAGGTATAACATTATTATTATTTTGCTGCTTCATAAATTATGAATGCACTAATTTACAGTTAACCACCTACATAAAGTAGTAAATTGTTTGTTTAAAATGAAAAAAAAAATGAGAAAAAAGTATTTTCTTTTCACTCTTTTTGCCATTATACCGACACATAAGAATAAAGTCATGCACATGGATGCTATATATGTTTTGGACAAATTAGAATTGTGAAACAGAAATAATATGTTCTAAATATTTAATATTAATGAAAAAAAAAAATGTAACAAAAAAGTCCTTGAAATTTCTGCCACTATATACCCTTCAAATAAAATAAAGGCTGTTTGAATATTTTGTTTTTCATAATATTAAATTAATAAAAATAATTTTTTTAATTTAATTTTTAATTAAATTTTAAAATTCTATAATAGAAAATAATTATTTAATATTCAGTAATTTTTAATTAAATAACAATAATTTATTTAATTATTAAATATTAATAATTCACTTTTCATATATTTAATATTTTAGATAACTGGAGCTGCACAAATAATTGTTGGTACCGCATTATTATGGGGTCATATAGGTTATTATGGAATTGCACAAAATAAATTTTGGGCGCCATCAACAATATTATTGGCATTAGGACCATTTACATTTATATTATGTTGGATGGGATGTCAAGCAACAAATCAAAAGAAAAGATGTTTACTAGGAATGGTAAATTATTATAAAAAGAAGTCATACAAGTTGATATAATATATTCATAAATCATTTTATATTTTAATGGAAAAGAAAAAAAAATTGTGTATTAATTTTATAATTAAATTATTAAATTATAAAGCATTATTTAAGCTTATTATAATAATCATATTTTTGAAGTAACATAAAAATTTTTATAGGTTGTTCATACCAAAATCATAATGGTGATATTTTATAAATTATTAATTTAAACCATATAGTAAATCGGCCTTAAATATTTGATTTTTAATTTTAATCATATTTGCTTAAGTTATCTTATATTTTTATATTAATTTTTATCTACATGTGTTCTGCCAGAACTTAACGTACCAATAGAATAAAACGTCGTTACACTTATAGCTCGTGACATAAAAACTATACTTTCATTACATGAGGCCAATTACTTTGTCAAATATTCGTTACTTAACATAATTTACATAAATATTATGACAAAATTTTATTGATTTGGTCGAAAATAATGCAGAATATCGCTAGTTATCATACTTACGGTATTCCATATTCCAACAGTTTTATTCTATATAAATGTACGTTACGTATAGCTGAACATGGCTATATATAAATCTTCATATCAAAAATTTTTCAAAAAATTAAAACTATATATACATACATGTGTCTCTATATAAACTTATTTACTTATATATAAAACAGTTCAGTGCATTTTTGGTACTTGAAATATGTATACAATTTATTGTTTGTGGATGGGCATTAGCAATGCGAGAAAATCTTCCAACAGTTGTTGAAATCTATGTTGATGATTCATTTGTGGACTTTTTAGATAAATTTTCCAGAACAAAAGTAGATAATTTGCATATGTGGAATAGAATGCAAACACAGGTTAGTTAAAATAATTTTTTTATTACAAATTATAAATTTTTTTAAATTTTTTTGCTAACTAAATTATGTAAATTTATTGAGTGTATTGCATAATTTACCAGCGGAAGTAAAACTTTTCTTTAATGCTAAAAAAATAATTATTTTTGTTTTTTTTTTTTTTTTATTAATTTAACAGCTACAATGTTGTGGTGTAGATGGTCCATTAGATTATCGACGTTTATCATTGCCATGGTCATGTTGTTCACGCCCAGAACATGCATTCGAAACATCCTGTGATACTCATTATAAAAGAGGTTGTCTAGCTGTTCTATCAGAACAGATAAAACTTCGTTTATTATTGGCTTGTTTTGCTGCTGGTGCAATTGCATTAATTCAGGTAATTTTTATATATAACCAAATATAATCAAATAAGTAAGGTAATTAATATAATAAGAAGAAGTTTGATACATTAATAATTATAAAATATAAAAAACTGTATTGATTCGATACTTAGACTGCGCAAATTCACTCTATAATATTCATCTTAGGTTTGGTTAATTTGCAATAATGTTAACCTGATAAATTAAAAAAAAAAATATTGGGTACGCATCTTAGTATCTTAGTACTCTCTTTATTTCATTACTCTTAAGAGTTCTGGTTGTTACATTAGATTAGATTTTATGCCAAATTCATATAAATTGGTACAATTAATATAAGTTTCATATATAAATTCCTCCTTATGCGCAATACGGTCTAAAAATTTAAATAACATGTATCACTGTTCAAAATTCAATGCACACTAAGTATTTAAGTATAAACTTTAAATAAAAATATACAACACAAGCTCCTTAAATAGCGAAATTACATTTATAAAAATCCTCTATTTTCTATAAACAACTTGTTTAACAGTATATTGACTGTAACAGTATAGTAACTGTACGAATTTCAATAATGATATTGAGATTCCATTGTATAGAAAGATATGATCTTCTAAAAAAAAATTTTTTTAATAAATATATTTGAAAAACACTAAATAATATTTTTTATTTTATTTTTTTCTAATTATTTATTATTTTTTCAATAAACACACAAAATACACGTATAACAAAAACAACAAACATAATTAATTGAAATAATATAGAGCATTGGTGTATTCTGTGCAATACAATTAACTGTATTATTGGGTCGTAGCGAAAATGGTGAAGATATTAATAAAATTGCGAAACGTCAAAATGAAATGCTGCCATTATCAATACAAGAGAAAGGACGTCGTGATTTACCACCATCACCATTAAGTTTATCACCAACAGCACCTGGTCATCGATTATTAAAGGTATCAACAAATTTACAATTAAATTATCTTGATTAATATCTAATTAAATTTAAATTCTCACTAATTAAAATATTTATTCTTTCTTTTTAATAATTAAAAAAAAAAAAAAATTAAAATATAACGATTAAAAAACAATTTTTTTTTTTTCAAAATTAAAAAAAAACAATTTTTTTTTAAATTTTTTGACGTTTTTTTTTCTTTATTTTTTTTTATTTTATTTTTTTCTTTTGTAAATAAAATATTTTTTCCTTTGACGTTTTTATTTTAAATTTTTTCTTTTTTATTTCTGTGTGTGTCTCTTATCATTATCGTTCTCTAATTCTTTTATTTTTTTTTTTCTAAATTATTAACTTATGTACTCAAAATTCTTGCTATAATTTTCATAATTACCAATATACTAATTATATGTCACATTTTATTTTAATTTCATATTTCAAAAAAACGTATTTTATTATTATTTTTTGCGCACCATTTACATTTATACAGAACTAAAAAAAAAAAAAAAAATAAAGAAAAAAATAGAAAAAACAAAAATCTCATAATCTCATTAATTTTTTTTTTAATTTAAAACAAAACTCTCTTTGTCATTTTCATCTTTTTAGACTGCTCCACCACCGCCTCCACCCACCATGCCTAAATGACAGACGATTAGTTTTTAAATTTCAAAATACATTAAAATAAAAAAAATATATAATAATAATAATTATTATTATTATAAATTATAATATAATTAAAATTATATTTGAATATTAAAATAAAAAAAAAAAAATAAAAAAAAAAAAACATTTAATATATAAAAATTTAAATTTAATTACATATATTAATATATATATATATTCTAATATATATATAAATATATAAATATTTAAAAATATTATTATTTATAATGAAATTTTTCATTTTTTTTTTTTTCTAAATTTTTTCTCAAAAATTTTCTCTCAACAGAAATCTCAGAAACATTGAACTGAAAATCTCTCATATTTCAAATAAAATAAAAATTGAGTGATTTAAATTATACAAAGTATATAATATAATTATGAAACAAAACAATTTTAATTAATTAATAAAAAAAAAGAATAAAACAGAAACAACCATATTAGAAAGGTAAACAAACACAAAAAAAAATGAAAGATCAAAAATATTATAAAAATAAAAATTCAACAAATTATACAAAAAATTGCAAATAACAAGAAAACAATATTCAAAAACGCCCAAAAAAAAAATTCAAAGCCCAAAAATTAGAGATCATCAAATCAAATTAAATAAACAGAATATATAAAAATTATTTCATCCGAAAATTTGACAAAATTATTCTACTACTACTACTACTACTACTACTACTACTACTACTGCTCGTACACACTACTATTGAATCAGATATTCAAATAATCGGAACCTTACAAATTTAAATATTTAAAAACAAAAAATGCATTAATTGAAACTATAATCAAATATACCGGAGAATCTTCATAATTAAATTATGTTAAACTAAAAAATAAAATAAAAATTGATATATGATTATAAAATTCTTTTTGTTTCATCTTAAGTTTAGACATTGAAATTAAATTAAGTAAATTAATTAATAATGCGATATTGTTTTCCAATAATTGAATTTTAAAAATATAATAAGTAGAACAAATAATATTTAATTTTAAATAATAAATTAAAATTGCATTATTTTTATATAGTATATATTTTTTAGTATATAGTTTAAAAGAGAAAATTAAATTGTATAAAATTAAACAAAAATAACATGTATACAATGAAAGCTTATAATATTGTTATATAAATTTGACATTCAACTTTATTATGAAAATTGCATAATATTAATGATTATAATTTGGAAAATGAGACAGAAATATCAATTAAATTTTTGATTTTATTTAACAAATCCATTTTTTGATCTTGACTCTTGTTGAAATTTTCAAATATACATCTATGTATTAGGTGCTGTATAAAATATTTTGAAGCGGTATTAAAGTTCAATTATTTTGTCATAAAAATGAATAAAGAGTTTAAGGTTTAATATAAAAATCATATAATTTTCAATTCCATTGTTATAAGTAATTTTTTCATTTCTTTTTAATAATTCAAGGGAAATAAATAAAAATCCTAAATACTATTCGAATATTTTGCGAGTATTTAAAATATATTTAGCATATTTGTTTACTCGTATTACGCACATGAACAATAGGAATCATCAACCTATTTCGGCAGTTTTTTAAAATTTATTTTTTGTATAATTCACAATTTATATAACAATTTTAAAATAATATTAAAATTTCTACACATTATTATATTATATAATACTAAAATATTATAATTATATAAAATTAGATATTCCCAAAGAAATCAATTGTATATTCAATATATACATACTAATTATATAATATTAAAAAATTGTAAACCCGTTTTTCTTTTTTTAGTAATAATTGTTCATTTTTAGTCTTTTCCCTAAAAATAGAGGACTGATTTTATGTATGTAGTTGAACCAAATATATATAGAGTTGTTTATAAAAATACATAATAGCCTATAATAGTTTAAATATAATATTTTCTATATTCAATTTCCAAAACAAAAAAAAAAATATATATTTATTTTATTTGGATATCAACGTTTATTTTAAAAACTATAAAGAAATGAATAAAAAAAAATTATTTTCTTTTTTCGATTTTTAGACTGATAAATCTTCATTGAAACTTGACTATAAATATGGCTATTTTATGTATGGGGAAGAAGAAGAATTAAATAATGATCCTATGAATGTTGTTTTTACAATTTAAAAATATTATATAATTTATTTTGTAAATTTAATACTATTAAATTTTTAATAATAATAACAATATTATTTTTTAAAATAATTGAACCTTGTAAATAAAACGTTTAAATTACTTTTTATTATTTTGTATAACAAATTATAAAATTTGTTCTATTAAATTTTTATTTTGAAATTTTTTCTTAAATTTTCATTATTTAATAAAATTGACTTTGGATAATTTTAAAGTGTGTAGTATAAGACTATCATTGAAAAGTTTTTTTTATTAAAGACTATTAAAATTGTATATAACATAAATGCTAAATAAACTCGCAATTTTAATAATAAATTAAAATTAATTAATTTTATTTTTTCTGGTTAACAATGTGTTATACAAGCAAATTCATATTAATACATATATATATCTTATGACACAATATTATAGGCATTTAGTATAATTTTTGTTATACAATTACAGAAAATATTAAAGTTAATACTTAAAAAAAAAAAAAGTAAATTAATTTCATAAAATATATTTTAAAATTTTATTTGCTTCAAACTTAAATTTCAAATTTTTTTGAATTCTACATTGTTAGTTTTTTATACCATTTATTTTAAAAATTTAAAAAAATTTTAATTATTTAAATAAATTTCAATGTCAAAACTTTTCAACTTGATATAATTAATAAATTACTTCCAAAAAAAAAAAAGAAAACAAAAATTCCCTTTTATTATTTTATATTACCAATATTTTAATGTGTAAGAAATTATAATAATAATTAATTAGAGAAAGAATGAAACAACTCTACTTGCTATTAATGTTCTTAAAATTATATTATAATGATATGTATATAAATATATGTATATATATATAATATATAATATATATTAATAGATTATGTACATATATAATATATATATGTGTGTATGTGTACTTACGTACATATACAAATTGACTAATTCAGGACACAAGTGAAAAAAATAAACAAAAATATATAAATATAAAAATTTATATATACATATACATATATATTCATAAAAATTTTTTTAAAATTAATAATATTAAAAAAAATATATATATATAAATTAAAAACAAAAAAAAAAATATAGAAGATTTTTTTAAATATTTTTAAAAACAAAATTTTTAAATAATTTCTTTTTTTTTTATACTTTCTTCATTTTTTTTTTCAAAATAAATTAAGTAAAATACAACAAAAAAAAAATTTAAGAAAAAAAAAATCTATATATACATATATATAAATAAATTTATAAATTAAATAAAATTTGTAGTTTATTGTGATAGAGAATTTTCTTGTGCGACGAATGTAAACATAAAAGCAATTTGAAACAAACATAAATTAAAAATATAACAAAAAAAAATAGTAAATATTATGCAATAAAAATAATTTAATTTAACAAAATAAAAATATTTTTTAAGTAAATAATTATAATATAATAGAAATTTAATTATATTATAACATTCTCTATATATACAAATATTATATATATGTACATATATTTAAATAATTTATATATATACATATACATACAAATAAAGTAATTTAAAAATACTGAAAATTTAATTTTATAAACAAAAAAAAAACCAATAGAACGAAAATATTACAAAAAAAAAAACAAAAAATTAATAATATTTTTTTTAAATATTCCGTAAAAAAAGAATTTCTAAAGGAATTGTTTTATGTATAATTATATATATATATATGTATATATATTATATATATAATATATTTATTTAAAAATAATGTTAGAATATATTATTATAAATTATTAAAAAATAAAATAAAATAAATAAATGATCTAAGGCACTGAATATTTTGTTAAATTTAATTAAAAATTGATAAACATAATATTATAAAAAAATAAATTAAAAAATTAAAAAAAAAAAGAAAAATTTAAAAAAAAAACATTGTTTACATTCCGTTCGCTTTTCTATAATGATGTTCAATCCTTTTCAAAATTTTATTATATACATACAATACAAATAAAAAACAAAAAAATTAATAATAATTATATAATTATAGAAAATAATATAAAAGAATAAAAATTACAATATAATAAGGACGAAAGAGATGTGAAAAAAAAAAATATTAAATCAAAATTTAAACAGCAAAACAACAAATTTATAAATAAAAAATTAAAAAAAAAAAAATTACAAAATAAAAAAAAAGAACAAAAATGTGAAATAAAAAAGTAAAAAAAAAATATAGTTTATGTAGTTTTTCT